GGAAACAGTAGAATTTTACTGCTGTAAAGTCTCCTTCACTGCCGTAAATGCCTTAGACTTTTCCTTAACGAAGAAAACCTATTGGAGAGTCTGTGCCACACCCAGAAGTAACTCCCTCAGCTAAGGAGGAATTTAACCTCAAGTGTCACACTTAAGGTGTTTTGTGCAGCCGGCCCCAGAGACTGTATGTACCTAAAAGAATAAATCAAGTCCTATCAGAGAGAGAAAGCCTGGCAGGTTACTTCTGTTGATTTATCCATCAAAGGCAGCATTTACCAGAACTTGACACTTGGCGGTTGTTAATTTCAGACCCTGTCTTCACCTCACGCTTCTCTCCTCATCATCCCTCTCTTCATCTCTGGTGTGTGTCATTAACTCTTCTCCCCCAAAAGATTTCTTTTCATCTTTTCTTTTATCTGTAACATTGAACTCTCTTTTCTTCTCCCATCAATCTTCCATGAATGTTCCTGCTAGCGGAGAATAAATCTTGCATGTTCAGTGTTGAGCTCCTGGGCACCTCTCTCCAGATGTATATGCCCGGTATCAGGTGCACAGCAGCATGGATTTGAAATGTGAGAAGTTAGACGGATACCTGTGCTTAACTTTGGCTCCAACTTGGCGGTGGTGGGACTTTTATCTTTGAGCTTGTGATCCTGAGAGAGCACATACTTGTATGTGTGGTGCATGGTTCGTGGTCCTGCAGTTTGTGGGCTGGTGCTGGTTGTATCAGGTCTTCAGTTTTAGATGCTTGGGACGACCTCCTCTACAGACAGCCTGCTGGTTTCTGTAGAAACAGACGGACCTCTGCTGACTTGGTGTCGGTGTTGCTTGCAGGGTTTAAGTTCAGTCGTTGAACCATCAGATCAAAATCAGAGCAGATCCACTGATCAGATCTCACCCTCCCTCCCTCCCTCCCTCCAGGTCAGCAGGTGATTGAAGAGCAGCGTCGTCGTCTGGCCGAGCTCAAACAGAGAGCGGCGGCGGAGGCTCAGTGCCAGTGGGAGGCGCTCCACGGCTCTCAGACCCACCTCATGACTGTGTCCTCCTCGTCGCCCTCCTACTCCCCCATCATGGCCTACAGCCCCACACTGAGCCACAGCTCTATGGGCCCCCCTCCTATGGTTCACCACTCCATCCTGCACCACCAGCCCCCGTCAGCCGGAGAGCAGCCGTACGACACTCTGAGCCTGGAGAGCTCCGACAGCATGGACACCAGCGTGTCCACGGGGAACAACTCGGCCTGCTCGCCAGACAACATGTCCAGGTACGACAGAGGGGGCTAAATCGTTAGCATCCTTTGCTAACACGGATCTGATTTAATCTGTGATGTGTGATAGAATTGATCAGTGCTACTCAGAGTGAATAGAAGAATAAGTTGGAGAGTAAAGGTGCCAATCATCCTCTGATAAAAACAGCAGCTGCACGTTGACTCGAAATGAACGGTTTGTGTCGGGATCAACGTTGTTCTGTTGTTCCTTCGTTTCATATTTTCAGTTCCCATCTGTTATTGTTACTAAAGCAAATGTCAGAACTAGAGCTGAAATCATTAATCGATTAGGTCAGTGGTTCTCAAACTATTTCATTTTATGTAGGACTCTTAAACTGACACAAATTAGACCACAGACTCCATCTGATAAGATTTTTGCTTTCAGATGTTTTATTACAGAAAGCCATGAACAAAACAGCCATACATTCTGTCATTGTGTCACTTATGGATGGAAATATAGTGAAAATACACTATTCCCCTTTTGCCGAAGACCCCCAGGAACCTCCTAAAGACCCCACTTTGATTAGAGCAGCTTTAGCAGCTTTTTTTTTTTACAACTGATTAATAATTTAAATAATTCTTTTTTAGCAGAGATGCCAAAAAAAACATCCAGCTTCTCACGTGTGAATATTTCCTGGTTTTCTTTAACTTCTCTGACAGTGAAGGTTGAGGTGACTTCATTTGTGCCCGTAGGTAAATTTGGTTTGCAGTAAAAAGAGTCGTCCATCTTACATTTACACATTTAACACACAGCACAGACAACATCACGTGCACAGGGTAAAGAAATATAAATAAAATGATTAAATAAACGTTGCTTCTACGACTTATTCATATGAGTGATGTCTGCTGGAACAAAGCTCTTTATACCGTGTTGTTCTGCACTTTGGGATCATGAAGCTTCATCCAGAAGGAAGTTCACTGCTCAAAGAGTCGTCATTTAAAATCTCTCTATCTAGTAACTGTCCGAAACGCTGGGTTTAAAGCTGTGACTCACCAATCAGCCTACGGGAGCATTTAACAGAGAGTTCCTGCTCTTTAAAGACAGATTTCCAAGATAAAATCCATTCAGTAAAAACACAGTAGAATAAGATCATCATGGTCTTTTCACAGTTTCCTCAGACACAACAACCACAGATGCTCCTTTCTGCACACGGCTTCACAAAGTTCCCTCTAAGTTCAGTTTCATGTGAAGCTGTTGAAGTGTTTGAAGATGTTGCCTCGTTTCGATCTCTGATTGAGGAAACTACTAAGAGAGAAAATGAGCATCGTATTAATTGCTAATATTCATTAGTGGCAGCTGCAGCCACAAGAGCGGATTCCACAACAGCTAATTTGACTGAGCAGCTTCGGTCCAAATAGATCACTACTCACATCAAGCTACTGAACAAACACACACACACACACACACACACACACACACACACACACTGCTCTCCCCCAGTTAAAGTCTTTATCCACAGGTCGGTTAATTTGGAGACCATCTGTTCACGTCACTGTGCTGTGTTAGAACAACTGTTCTCCACAGCAGGTTCTCAGCAGCACCCGTTCTTCTTCTCTCTTTTACAGCTCCCAAGAGTCAAATTCCAAAAACTATTAGAGCTGCTACTTTTTCTAAATTTTATTTTACTTTTTAAGAGACGACACTAATGCAGAGAAAAGGAGGGAGGGAGGGAGGGAGGGAGGAGATGTAGAGAGGCAAAGTTTATGAGCCAAGTTTTGGCCGAGACTCCGGCTGTTTGACAGCAGTGATTCAGACACTCAGGCTTTGGTCATGATTTTTTAATAAATCCGTTCTGAACAAAAGAGGTAAATATTCACCCTCTCTAATCGATCTCATGTCGTTATGAGCTGTGAGGAAATATTGCATATTAACAAAGCTTCAGAGCTGTAGGACCTGTCATTAAAAAGCTTCCATGTTATAGTGAGAATGAAGCAGTTGAGACGTCGTCATGTGGCTGAGTCTGTATTTCATCATATTTCCACACGTAGATCCTCACAGCACAATAACATCAATTTTTTAAACCATTTACTTGCTGGAAGCGAACAGCAGCCGCACAAACAACCTTATAACTCTGAGAGGAGGGCCGGACTGACGGGAGCAAACCAACACATCAGTCCAGTGTTGGTCTCCCTCCTAAGATCTGGTCCAATCAGTGTCAGTCCCAGTGGATCCATGTCACACAGTTGAACAATATTAAACTGGATTTTGGTTCGAAGCTTCAAATTTAAAGCTTTAATGTGACTTTTCGTTCGATTTCTTTCAATAAAGTCAGTATTTTGTAATTATGTAATAGTTCAATGTAGAGGTTGTTGCTCAGGATGTGAAATCGTGAACATTTAACATCAGTTTGAAGACGCAGACGAACATCATGTGGTGACTGTGTGTCGCTGTGTTTGACCTCAGTGTCGGAGGAGTGGACTCGCTGAAGATCGAGGAGATGGAGAAGATGCTGAAGGAGGCGCAGCTGGAGAAAGCCAGACTCATCGAATCACGGGTGAGACACGACGATCTGAACGATTGATCTGAATCCATACGTTGCGACTGATGATGATGCTTCCTGCAGCGTCTCTGTCAATAGTTCTGAAGTGTGCTCAGCGTAAAAGTAAAGGTTCATGACGGGAAGTCGGTTCTTTGATTCACTTTTATTGGATGCAGATGTCTTCGTCTCTTTGTGCCTGATGAAGAAGTTTAGAGAATAAAGACGATACGATCAATTTCCTGCTCTGAAACCTTTTCCCCCACATTCCTCATCCTCTTTTAGCTTCCATCCATTCACTTTTTCTCTTCAGTTGTTCCACTCTTTGTTTACAGCTCCTTTTTACAACTTAAATCTACCGTGCCAGAAATATAAACGCAACACTTTTTGTTTTTGCTCCGATTTTTTCATGAGTTGAAATTAAACACAAAAGGTTCATTTCTCTCAAGTTCTGTTTACAAATGTGTTTAAAGTGCACATTCCTCCGTGCAGTTTTATTTTAAATAAAGACATTTATTAGGTACTAAACTGTGAATTTCACACGGCCCTGGCTACAGATGTGCATTTGCAGAGTTGATCAGTTTGTTGATTGTCGGCTCACTCCTCTTCAATGGCTGTGAAGTTGCTGGATATTGGCAGGAAGTGGATCGTGCTGTCGTACACGCAGATCCAGAGCGTCCCAAACATGCTCAGTGGGTGATGTCAGGGGACGACGCAGGCCATGAAAGAACTGGGATGTGTTCAGCTTCCAGGAGTTGTGTACATAACGCTGCGGCAGATGAATGGCACGACAATGGGCCTCAGGATCTCCTCACAGTATATATATGTGTGTGTGTGTGTGTGTGTGTGTGTCTCTTTTGTGTATCGAAACAATCTTTTATTTCAACTCATGAAAAAGAGTAAAAAGTGTTACATTTATATTTTTGAGTATATTTTCCCCCCGTCTTCTGTATTTTGTCTTTTCTTTTATGTCTGTATACTGTAGATGTGTGATCACTGCTTAACCCAAACCTTTCTGTGTGAATAATCGTCCACGGCGATGGAGCTGCACGGTGGCCGGCAGCGTGAGCTCATAAATGTATGAATGCACAGCCGAGTCCTGACTTGGAGAGAGAGGAGAAAAAAAAAAGAAAAAAAAAAGAGCTCGCCTGCTCTGCAAACTCCATCCACAGATCAAAAAAATATTTAATGAAAGCCCTCTCTCCTCCAGGAACGAGAGAGCCTGGCTCGCCGTCAGATGCTGGAGGAGGAGAGGAGGAGGAGGGAGGAGGCGGAGAAAAGACTGCAGGATGAAACTTTCCACCGGCAGCAGCTCGTGGAGAAAGAGGTCAAGATGAGGGCCAAGAACTTCTCTCAGGTCAGTGAAATGAGACGTAATTGAGTCGGCATGCTAGAAAGCTGTAAAATTACTTCGCCTGCCTGAAAACATGACGAGCTTCTACCTGAGGGCAGAACCCTTGGTGTTTAAGACACGTATATGGAATGTTTTGTGCCAGTATTCAATGCAGTTACATACAAGATTTCAATATTTCTTGTATTTAGAGTCTAAAAAAGCTGCAAAACAAGCGTCAGAAATATCATGATTGTTGATATTGATCATATCACTGATTATCCTCCTGTGTCTGATCGCCGTGTCTCGATCCAGGCTCGTCCTATGACTCGCTACCTGCCCATCAGGAAGGAGGAGTTCGACCTGCGCTCTCACGTGGAGTCGTCAGGCCACAGCGTGGACACCTGCTACCACATCATCATCACCGAGAAGATGTGCAAGGGCTACCTGGTCAAGATGGGAGGCAAGATCAAGTCCTGGAAGAAACGCTGGTTCGTCTTCGACCGCCTCAAGAGGACCCTCTCCTACTACGTTGGTGAGCAGAGCCTCAGAGTGGGCAGATACTCAGACTCTCTCCATCAGGCTCTAGAAGCGTCACAATAATATTCCCAGGCTGTTTCATGTTTCAGACGGTGTTTAAGCTTCTCATCATGACGTCCTGTGACACATGATATTGAGCCATTTGACAGATGAGTCAGACTCTGTGACTACACTTGCTCAGGATTTTATTTTGAAAGTCACAAGCCTAGCAACATTAAGGCTACAAACAACCCATAATGCAACACACTCTGCAAGCACCGTGTAACATAACAACACTGCAGACGACAGCCAATCACAACGATCTCTAACAGTCTCAACATGGTGACTCTCACAAAAATAGTATTTATAGTATTGTATTAAATTTAGTAGCAGAGGAAGTATTCAGATGCTTTTCAAAGTAAAAGTAACAATACTACAATAACAACAAGAAAAATGTCCTGCATTGGAAACGTAAAAGTATCAGCGGAGCTCAAGTATTAAAAGTAAAAGTAATAATAAAATGTTCCTATCAGTTTTTATTATATTATATATTTTATTATTGGCTTGTTAATACTGTAATACTGTAAACAGCATTGTATTGTTACAGTTGGTCGAGTCTCTGGAGCTGATTTTAACCACTGAGGATCCTCTGGAGTATTTTAATCTACAACACTCCATCGTATTATATAAACTCATCATTTGTTTTATGTGTAAAATCTTAATTTGTGACGTAACTGTCGCTGTCAGAGAAATGCAGTGGAGTCAAAAGTTAAAGTATGAAGTAGCACGAAATGGAAATATTAAAGTAAAGTATAAGTTACTTAAAATTTGTACTGAATCAATTTATTTCAGTAAATCTAATTAGTCTCATTCCAGCTCTGACGACATCTGACTGTAAGGTGTTGCTGTTAATTTGTCCACTCTGTAGACGGTGGCTCTGCGGCGCATGGCGTTCCTGCAGGTCAGTAGATTTAGAAATGCAGCAGCAGGCGGAGGAAAAACATTACAGCAGCTACAGTACATGGAAACGTCAGAGTTTGAAATGAGTTAAACATTTAACATGTAAAGTGGCAGAAATCTGAGTGACAGCCAAACAGGCGTCCTCCAGACCCTGAGCATGTGTAGTACGCGGCGTGCGCGGCGGTGTAATTTGATCCCGCGCCGCGAGCTCTGGGACACTTGTTTGCTGTCAGGCCTTTGAAGTCGTCACAAGGTTCCGCTTAAAGCTGCTTGAAGCGAAGCGGGTTGAAAGCGAGCCGGGGTGAGGAGGCGCTCAGAGATTACTTCAGCAGTACTTAAAATGCGCGCGGTGCGGCGCTCTCTGAGGACGCTGATTGAGATGCATCGCTTGCCCTTGTCTCTGACCTTGAACGATGAGCAAATGAGACGAGCATAAGTCATGAGCGCCGCTAATTCACGTTAATCAACCTGAACCGTGACGCGCAGAGTTTCGGGAGTTTAGATGCAGCCAAACGAGATGCACGTGCAGGGCTATTTGAATGCTAAAGAGGTCATTAGGAGATAATAGCTGCGTATTAAAAGGAAAGTGTTATTCCTCGAAATGAAGCAGTGCGTTTCTACCTACTACTCTTAAGTTGGCTTGTGGAGTGTTTGTGCCTGGAGGTAGAGAGGGGTGTTGAGTTCCCCACCGGTTCCTACTGCAGTTCTGCAGTGGCTGATGAAACAAACTGCAATGATGTACCAGAGTAGCGTAAGAATGCAGTCAAGTCTGAAAATACAATGAGAGCACCATTGGTTTAAAAACAGAGAAAAAGTGCTGTGCTTGTCTTTTTCCATCCATCATCACAAACCACAAACCGCTCATGATCAAAGTTTGATTTTTTGATTTTTTATTTTTTAATGACCGCATCTCTCGTTTCCCCCGCCGTCGATGTTCACGGTGACATGGATCGTTTTCTGTGCTTCCGCTTTTTTCAAGCCAAGAAAGAAGTGTTGTTGTTGTCAACACGTTTCAGTCTTTGACCAAACCCACCTTCTTTTCCTTCCCACAGACAAACACGAGACCAAACTGAAGGGTGTGATCTACTTCCAGGCGATAGAGGAGGTCTATTACGATCACCTCCGCAGTGCCACCAAGGTACACGTCTGAAAATCATCATTTCCTCTCACTTATTTCACACTTGGTTTATTTTCCTCCCACGTTCTCTTTTATTTAAAACTTGTTTTTTTTATTGCGCTCTCTGTGGTTTTCGCTTCTTTTCTCCTTCTCTGTGCTTTTTGTTTTGGCCGCCTGCTGCTGTCACAGAAGGGATTTTTCAACTTGAATATGACCAGTGTATGTATCCATGCTTTCTGTTCTCCCATCCCACCCCACTGATCCCTGTGTGTCCCGACTGTTTGCTGATGATGCATGGAAACCTGAAATAAGCAGAACGTTCACTGGTTTGATTCGTGCTGGTTTGGAACTTGAATTGCTAATCCCGCTTGATCCCTCCGTCTGTCCCAGTGATCCCAGTGTAAACCAGTGGAGTGGAGTTTCCTTATTCATATGCCTCCACTGTAACAGATCTGTATTTTTAAGAAGAGTTCATGTTTGAATGAAATAATCTGATGTAGGAAAATCCAGGTGAGGACGATGCTTGCTCACTTTTTGACCAGATTTCTGCTCGTCTGTCTGACACGTCCTGTCACTTTGTTTCTCCAACATGAAGCTGAGAGATGCTGCTCTGTGTGTGTGTGTGTGTGTGTGTGTGTGTGTGTGTGTGTGTGTGTGTGTGTGTGTGTGTGTGTGTGGTAATGCGTCGCGCTCTGACTAACTGTGTGGCTCTGATCAACTCTGGGACTTTGATTTTACTTGTCACTTCCATTGCCACATTACAGAGAGAGAAGAGTCTGCTGCACTTAGTTCAGACGGAGGAAAAGTGACGAACGTGTTTGAGGATGAAATAAATTTTCCACTTGTCTGGTCGGGTGTTTTTCCAAAAACACAACAATAACTTCAGCTGCGCCTTTTGTTTCCTAAGATGTTAACCACAAACGATACAACAAGAGAACTATGGACACATTTTACACATCAATATAGACGAGACTGAACGTTTATTCTTGATTATTGGTTCAAATTTTTGTTCCTATTGTACAATCTGAACAAAGATGTGTCATTTTTATTTGTATTAATGTAGTAAAAAGGTTAAAAATTAATTTTTTGTGGAGTTTACAGAATATTTTTCATCCAGATGTTTTTAAAGTTGCTGTAATTTCTAAATATTTTTGGCCACTTGGCGGCAGCGCAACAAGCTGAGAGCACAAACCAAAGTTTTTATGGTTGTTAATTGTCAGTCAGTCACAACAGTAAAGTCACAGACCACAACTAGAGATGCTGAAGATGTTTGTTGGGGGGAAAATTTTGTGTTGGTTCATCACTTTGAGCAACGTCTTTCATTTGATTGATTTTGTTTATAAAAATATTGATCAGTGCAGCTTTAAGATTCTACAGAGGAGAAGTTATTAACGACATGTTTTTTTCAAAGATTGGCAGTTTTTATTCACTTCTTTGTTAATTTTTTAATAGTCTGGTGTTAGGGAAGAACAGCTTTTAAAACAGCGTTTATTCCATTGAAAACGAATGGTAACAGGCTGATACTGCAGTTATTGTAATGAGTGGGCGACTCTTGAAGTTTTCCCCATTGAAACCACTGTAGTTTCAGTCACTACACAGTAATATTCAGTGGTTTTTATTCACTGTTTTAACGCTTTAATACTGTTTGTTTTAATACTTTTCCCTCCCTCAGAGCCCCAACCCCTCGCTGACCTTCTGCGTGAAGACCCACGACCGGCTCTACTACATGGTGGCCCCCTCAGCCGAGGCCATGAGGATCTGGATGGACGTCATCGTCACGGGAGCGGAGGGATACACACAGTTCATGAACTGAGAGCGAGAGAGCGGAGGTGATGAGCTAATAGTTTCGGCAGGGACTCTCCCATCACAGACTCTGTAGGCCCTTCTTCCTGTTTCCAGTCCACCGCAGACACCACGCCTTGTTTTTATTCATTTTTAATCTCACCTTTTGATTTTTCTGTGTCGACGTTCACCTCCGCGTTTTCTACGTGATTCTGTTTGGATTTAAAAAGGGAGCCCGTGAAGGACACACACACACACACACACACACACACACACTAACACACACAAACACACACACACACACACACACACACTCTATTGTATATAAACCAAAATATAAACCTGTCAGAGACTTTTAAAAAGCCTTTCTATATTGCCAAATGGAGATCTTGTAGTTGCTGATTGAACCTTTTGTATTATTTGTTTCCCTTCTTTCTTTTCTTTTGTTTTTGTTTTCTTTTGTTTTTTTACTCATGGAGAAATTTGCCAAATGACATAATGCCAATGTTTTTCTTTGAGTGTTCATCATGACTATGCTCAGCTCAGACAGAGAGACTCTAAACGAATCGTTTTAGAAATATATTTGAAAGAATCTTATTCACTATGTTGTAAAAATGTATGAGATATAACAGAAATCAGTGAGTGAGCAGAGACTGGAGATGATCTAAGAGTCCACCACATCTAAATCACTTCATCCTCCATGTCCACAGTGGTCACGTCACCTCAGTGCTGCTCTTAGACAGAAGATTAACACTAAATATAAGTGCAAATCAAGTGCAGAATATTCAGCTACATCCCAGTCATATCACTTCCCTTAGGTTTAATCAGAGTAATTGGAGGTATTTTGTTAGACAACAGCTCAGGAGTTCATTCTGCAGTTTGCTCTATGGTTTGTCCAGTATGCAGATCGGGAAGCCTCTGCTGATATTAGCATTGAAGCTGCTAATGAGTATCATATCCTGCTGTATTGAGAATATTTCAATAATTAATATGCTTCACTAAACCCAGAACAATGACTGAATTTTCAGGCTTAGCACACTTTGGAGGAATAGTTTGATATTTTAGGATACACAGGTTGGCTATTTCCTTTCTAAAGGCACAAGATGATTAGCTTAGCTTAGCACAAAGATTGGAAGCAAGTTGCGGTTTATTGTGGACTCTTTATGTTAAGCTAAGCTAACAGTCTCCTTGCTTTAGCTGCTTTCATGCCAAAAGTTAGATTAAAAACATTGATACCACTCTTGTATCTGTATATGCTAATATCAAGCTAAAGCCATTAGCGGATTAGCTTAGCCTAGCACAAAGATTGTAAGCAAAGGGAAACAAGCTAGCCTGGCTCTGTCTGAATGCTAAAAAAAAAAAAAAGACAAGTTGTGGCTTATCGTGGAGTCTTTATCCTATGCTAAGCTAACAGTCTCCTTGCTCTAGCTTATTTTATCTAAGCGCTGCTTTGTGTCAGAAGTTTGGTAAGATGTTTGATACCACTCTCCTATCTGTATGCTAAATATGAAGCTAAAGCCAGCAGCTGGTTAGCTTAGTACAAAGACTGGAAGTAAAGGGAAACGGCTAACCTGGTTCTGTACTAAAACTCACCAGGTAACATGGTATATGTTGCCTCTATAGTTGGTAAGCAGACTTATCTCACTCTAAAGAAAGTAAAAAAGCATGATTCACAAAATCAAAGTCAAACTATCACTTCTTTTACTTTGAAGGTGGATTTTTCTCTTTTGGTAGGATCCATGTACTTCCTGTTTTTGTGCTAAGCTAGGCTAAACATGCCTTTAATCTCTTTCACTGGATCATAGCCGAGGCTGATTCCCCAAAAAACCCTGTATATTGGTTGAACCATAGCTGCCACATTCTCTGTGTACTTGTGAACATGTTGAAGAGGAATATCTCATTTGTCATCATTTTGCCACCTCAAGGTGCAAACTGCATGTCTACATGTGCACACACACACACACACACACACACACACACACACACACACACACACTCACTCACGTAAACTAAAGAAGCTTGACTGTTTGCCAAGTAGCCTTTAGCTAACTGGATGATGCGACTACACAGCTGGGAAGCAGCCATCATCACTGCCAGCCTACAGGAACCACGATTAGAGGGCGCTACAGAAACCAGGACCACGCAGGATCAACAATACGGACTAATGCAAATCCAGAACTGTGCCTTGACTATGTGTTGTTATTGATGCCGTGTCTGTGAGTCCAGCACAGCCTCGCTGGAAGGCTACAATCATACAAATGCGTTTTAATGCATTTCTGAGCTGTAATGCAGTATGTGGACAGATTCAGACTTTATGATGGAGGTATCCGCCTGTAGCATCATTACAGGCAGATACCAGAGGCTCTGATTACACTGGGGATCAACTAGTTCACATTTACAAAACTCTGAATGTACAAAATCATATCGGTCCATTTATGTTGTTAAATGTTGCAGTTTAATTGATCGTAATCATTAGGAGTGCTAATTATCTCTTGAGGAGCAAAAGACTACAAATTAATAGAAATAAGATAACAGGTAATAGAAAGATGTGGGCATTTCAAGTGTAGTATTTAGTGTTTGTGACCAAAGACTAAAAGTCTTGGCCTAATATTTTGTACATTCAGTCGTGTAACTTAGTTTGCCAACTTTTAATTTACAATAGACTGTTAACTGTATGAATTCAGACTGTAATTTCAAAACAAGGGCACGGAAAAGAAAAAAAAAAAGTATGATTTTTGGTAGAAAATCGACTCTTTTGCCTTAAAAACAAAACAAAAAAAATCTTTTAATTTGCTGCCACGTCATTAATTCAGGCACACTTTACTTCCTGCTTTGAATCCCCACTGTGAGCTGAGGCCTGATAAAGAAAACACTCGTATCTTCAGCTTTAACAGACTCTAACCGACCGGGGCTTCGCCTGGTCTTCGTCGTCGTGTTGATTGTCACATTGTGAATCTATTGATCGGCCGGTTTGTAGTCAACGCGTCCCTGGATGCTGTTTTCTGTGTTTGTGGAAGCAGAGGACTGACAGACTGTGATTTCTATGGAGCATGTGGAACTGTTGTTGATATAGTTTCATGTGTTGGTACAGTAATGATAATTTATGATTGTGGTGCCTGAGATAGTGACATGTTTACTTCTAAAACATGAAGTAGGAGATCAGTGAAAAGACTTTAATATATTTTGCCCCCCTCCCTTCTCCTCCTTGCCTTTTTAACATGTGCAAACCAAACTATTCAACACTGGCAAGGCTGTTAAATCATGTCTGTTGATAGTAGATGGTATAAACATTACTGTTGTTATCAATGTTGAAAGGAAACTAAATAAACTGTAGAGGATGCCTGAATGAAAAAATAATATTACTATTGAGATGAAACAGTATTGTATGAAAATAAGTACAGTTTTTACTTATTTTTGTCATTTTAGAAATTTTATTGTCAGTCAGTTACATTTTAAATTGTATGGTAGTGATGTATCGATCTACCTTTTTTATTACTGGTACAGCAGAACACACAGAATAACTCACCTAGCACTCACGTGACTGTACTTATTTTTTTCTAGAAAGTAGTTCCTGTTTCAAACACACACACACATTAAACACACACTTACACACACACTCTGAAACAATACTCGGACCATACTGTGTTATTGGTACCCTGTACGTCTCATGCGTCACATTCAGGTATGAATAATATGGATTTTGTCAAATCTATTAAAAACGAAACTGTTACAGAGCGTCGTCTGTGTTTCTTGAATTCAAGAGGATCCAGTGATGAGGAGAGAGAGAGACCGTAGAGTGGATGACTTTTTATGCCTTACTACACTATGGTATTTTTATGTCTTACTATAGTATGACTTTTAGTCTTACGATACTCTGACGTTTTTATGACTTTTTATGCCTTACTATA